GTCCTACAGGAGTGGGTTTGAATGAACTGAAGAGGAAGTTGTTAATATCTGACCCGCAGCACTTCGGTGTCACCATTCCTCGTAAGTCTTTGCATAGTGTCACTCTCTGTGTTAAAGAGAATGAAAGAGTGCATGATTTTTCTCCCAGTGTCCCATACTCGAGTACATGTTAAGTCTACAGGAATGAAGGAATGGAGAAAGCTTTTCAGTTCCTAAATAAAAGACGTCTCCACCTTTGTTATTGATCAGGCTCCAGCTCTCTCTCTCTCACTTTCTTTTTCTCAGCATCCAGGAACACATTTTTCAGGGATATGCACCAGACACGTTGGGATAAATGAATTGGGCTGTGATTGATGTATTTAAACAGGCTGCCTTCAGCGAGCAATTGCATATTTAGAGTCAGAAAGAGAGAGCATGTAAAAGTGAAAGAGAGAGAGAAATGGAGGGGGAAAAAAGGGGGAGTAGGAGCATAAAGGGGTGGCCAAAAAAGCAGAGACTGTTGATAGAATCAGGGGATGTTAGTTACATTGAGTTTGGCTGTAATAGATGTGTCTGATTCTGACTGTGACACTTTGAAATGCCACTGGTATTAAAATCCCATCCAAAGCTTTTTGCCTTAATGCTGCCTAATTGCTCACAAATGTGACCTCTGCATTTGTCTGTATTATATGGCCCGGCTCGCATTCACAACTTACAGAAGATTTAAATTAAAGAGATGGATTCTTGGAAAGTTCACTTTTTTCCTTTCTTTTTTGTCTTTTTCCCCCCTTTTTTTAAAAGCTGCCAACTCTCCAGCTTCAAATATTCAACGCTCTGCGTTTGTTCAGATCGGTGTAAAAACATTAGATGTAGTTTGAGTTTTTTTGTTTAAAGCATTACTTCAAGCAGTTGTCGTACATTAAGGCTTCCCCCTGCTGGAACGTGTGTTGCAGAGAGGGGCAGTAACAGTGGTGAGATTGCAGAAAACGATTAGTCAAGTGAACATTTTAATATTTTTCCAGCCTTACAACTTTTTTCCATGATTGTAGAATGAATGTCACATTCTTTAACTGCACCAAGATCATTTCCTTCCCCACAGAGTTAATGCATACAGTCTATAGTGTATCAGTGTGAGCATTAACACGGTTATGATGGTCCTCCGGCCCCAGTCAGAGCAGCATTACGGTGTCTCTACTAAACACACAGAGAACTTGCCCACAACCTGTCTTTCTTTCTTTCTGTCTCTTTTTTCTTTCCTCCTTTTTTTCCCCTCCCTTTTTTCTTTCTTTATTTTTTATTTGTTCTTTGTTTTTTATTCTTTCATTTTGTTTCTTTTTCCTTTTTTGGCTTATTTGTTTTATTGTTCTTTCTTTCTTTCTTTCTTTCTTGTTGTTTTTTTTTGTTTCTTTCTTCCTTTCTTTCATTTGCAATTTCATTTCATCTCTTTTTTATATCTCTCTCTTTTTTTCTCCTCTGTCGCTCTCTCTCTCTGTGTCTCTGTCTTTGTTTAATGGATGGTTTTATTGAAAGTCGTTCTTTCTCGAGCTGGATGGAGATGTAATAAATCAGGTGTGTCTTCACTCATGAGCTGTGAATGACCCACTTGCCATTGTGGCCCTCATGAAAAAGTGAAGAGAGCAAGAGGGGTAAATGATGGGCAGCGATAAAGAGGAGACAGCAGACGGCTTCAGGCTTGGAGAAGTGGGCTAGTTACTGAGGGGGAAGACAATGAGCGAGTTTTCCTGCCTTGTAAAGCTAGCGGTTTTCTCTTTCTCTTAATGTAAAACATACATTGTAAAAGCTGAAGCGGCTTTGTGTTGGAGCCTGTTGTAAATTACTAGATGATGGTACAGTATGAGGGAAATGAAGAGATGGATGAGTTACAGTGAAGCAGAGAGATGGAAGGATTGAATCAGGAGGGAGCGCTGCGAGAGAGAGAGAGGCAGAAAGGAAGGAGAGGGGGAGGTGGAAAGAAGGAGAATCCTGGCACTCAGCTTGTTGGAACAGTGATAAAACTTTAATAGTTTGTTTTGGAGCCGGCATTCGGACAGTTTGTCTGTGGAGTGGACCGCCGCGACCTCTGACCTCTCCGGCTCTCGTTAAACATGCCGCAGCGGGCCTCAGCACAGCAACCTTTGACCCCTACTAAACGGGCTGGTGCCACACTGGCCGGCCCGGCACGCGTGGCCCAATTTAACAGGCCGTGCTTTACAGCCAGGCAAACAGGGACAGGAGTTAATGAGAGTCAGAGGGAGCTGGGTTCTGCTGCTGGTACTGTACGCTTCTGACGGTTTGTTAGCAGAACCACTGTGTTCTTACTGCTCTATAAAAACATTAGGAATGCCACTGGCTGTGCTCATGGTCCTATAACGCAGTGTGTAAGCGCCTGATATAGACCCTATAGCAGTGTTACAGGGCTTAACATGACAGCCTCGTGCTGTTTGAGTGTGGAACGTAACCCCAGTGGCTGTGGGACTTGAGCCATTTGACCATTTCAAAGGGGGGGTGGAATAAGTGTGATTGAGTACGTTTTCCCTCAGCTATAATTTACTTCTCTTTCTTTCACTCTTTCCCTCTTGCTCTTCCTCTTTCACAGACACCTCTCGAGCGAAGAGGAGCCAGGAGAGTGATGGTGTGGAGTATCACTTCATCTCTAAACACCTGTTTGAAACAGATATTCACAACAACAAGTGAGTCTTTTTACCTGTGAGAGTATTTCAGGAAATAAAAATCAGTAGTAACTTTTCAGGAGAGTGTAAAAACACTGTTGCCTTTCAATGTAAGTTAATGTAAAGAGATTTTATTCCAAGTGATTTTTAAAGCATTTTTATTGGCCTATTCATCATGAAATTTCCCCACAGTTTTCACACAATGTAAAAGACAGCTGGTGTGTTGAAATGATGTAGAAAAATAAAAATCGACAAAAATGGAGATACATGGTTTTCTTTGGACAGCGATGATATTTTAAGTTCTTTTATGACTCTGTTTTTTTTTTGAAAGGCTGCTTTCGTGATTCCACTTGAAGTCAGTTTGTATTGTTTCCCCTTTTTTTAAAGCTAGTTATTCCATTAATTAAAAGTAGGGCTGCACAGATACAGATACTGATCACTACTTAAATGTAGTATCGGTATCAGCAATAGGGAATACAGATACCATCAAGCAATTTCTGATGCGCATGCATGCTATTCAGACGCGTACATGGCCAACAGTAGATGGAACTTTACTAAAACGAGCTACACAGTGGTGTGGGATGACAAGAAGTAGTAAAAATGCTAATTGCAGAGGCAGGCATCTTTCTGTAACCCCTTATCTTCCACTATGTAATCAGTTGCAGTCTATGTTTATGTTTGTTAGTCCAGGTCGTTATCAAGAGAGAGAATGTTAGAGAGATGCAATGTATGGCCAAAAGTATGTGGTCACCCCTAATTGTTGAGTTCAGGTGTTTCAGCCATTATTAGCACAAGAATTGTGCATCGAGAGCTTTGTGAAATGGTTTTCCATGGCCAAGCAGCTGCACACAAGCGTAAGATCGCTATGCATAATGCCGCTATGCGTCACTGGGCTCTGGAGCAGTGGAAACATATTCTCTGGAGTGTTTGGTGGAGGAGGGATAATGGCCTGGGGCTGTTTTTCAGGGTTTGGGCTCAGCCCCTTACTTCCAGTGAAGGGTGATGTTAATGCTACAGCAAAAAGATTTTAGACAATTAAATAGGTTTGGGAAAGACCTTTTCCTGTTCCAGTATGAATGTGCCCCTGTGCAGAAAGCGAGGTCCATGAAGACATGGTTGAATGAGTGTGGTGTGAAGGAACACCAGCTTGACCTGATCCCCACTGAACACTAACTGGAATGTTAATTGCGAGACAGGCCTTCTCCAACATCAATGCCTGACCTCACAAATAATCTTTTGACTGAATGGGCACCAATTCCTACAGACACTGTCCAAAATGTTGTGGAAAGCTTTCCCAGAAGAGTGGAAACTGTTATTGCTGCAAAAAGGGGGGACACTCCAAATTGATGCTCAGGTGTCCACATACATTTGGCCATATAGTATATATGAAAATAACCTCTTTTTCGTGAAGTTCATTAATATGCATGTATTGACTGGCTTTAAGCACAGCCCTAAAGGCGTTATTACAGATATTCACTTGGGTTGTGTTCAGTGGTGCCCAATGTTTTTCCATTCCATTTTATTTCGTGTGGCAGGATCATCTTATTATAATTCTCTTGTACTTGTATTGCAAGTGAGAGTGAGAGGCTGCTGACAAGTGGGATGTTTCTCTGTCTGTGTGTTTGTGTGCATATGTGTGCTCGAACGTGTGTGTGACTAGACTGCTTGTGCCCTGTGGTTCACAAGCCGTGATCCATATGGATGGCCCGTTGATGGATGTTTTTCCACAGCCTCTCATCAGAGAATAAGACAGCACCACAGGAAAGTGGATAGAATGTCACTTTGCCTGCACTTTAGGCCTTTGGAACTGTTTTTAGGCTGCTGTGTGGTGGAAAATGACATACAATGGTTTTGTAGTCATTTGTAGCAAACATTAAACTAAGTGTAAATCAGAACTTGGTATATACAAAGGAAGGGCCTGAAAGGAAGAGAATGGAGAGGTGAAACAGAGGAGAGGAGAAAGCAGCTGGACAGAGCAGGTTGAAATGTTTGTGTATGTATCTATGTATGAGTGTGTCTGATCAATGTCCACAGTAGTGCGTGCCAGTGGGAGATGCTCATTCTCGTGTGACGAGCAAGTGACATCGGCATTCCCAAGGAAAACCCTGCACTGGCCTAAAAACAGATTACCCCAAATTAACCCAAAACCACAGAGGCAGCCTCCACCCCGACATCCAATCTATACACCAGCCTTCAGGACAACAAACACCACAGGACTCAAAACTCATTTAGCAGGCCTGCCTTAAATGAGCTTCCCAGAAAACAGACACTTGTGCAATTTACGGTTACGGTAAATGTCAAATTAACAGTAAAGAACCTCTTCTTAGCACCCAGCAGAATGGTCTGACCATGTCATTGTTGGGCTCTGACGATGCGGTGTACGAGACCAGAGTGAAACCACTGAAAATCACTCTGATGGTTATGCATAGAGTGAAAACAAACATGCCTGAAAACAGTGATTTAAAGAAAGAATCCATTTTTGGAGAGGACCAGTGCATTTAGATTTGAAACAGGAAGACTGTAAGACTTGAAAAAGGAAGACCCTGAGAACCAGCATATCCCATAACGCATAAGTAGCAGTTATTTATCAGTTAATTGCTTATAAAAAACGTACTATGAAACTCTTTTTGTGGGTTAGTAAGTTTGAGTTGACTATCAAAAATACTAATGTGGCTAATGGTAAATGAAAGCTTGTAGGGACCAATTAGAGTGATCAGTTTACATAGTGCTAGCTAGGAGTGGGCAATCTGATGATCGTTTATCATTATTGTGATGCACACATTTCTGAGCATATGTCAGATATCACCAGTACTTAAAGAACACTGGAACAACTGCATGTTTTATTCCAAAGAGAGCATAATTAGTCCTGTTTAAATGAATTTAGCGCAGCACAGTATGTGAAATGTTAAATAATAACTTTATTGATGGTTTTTGATGGTTTTGAAATGTGAAACTACTAGTTTATTGTATCTGTGTGTCAAAAATGTATTATACATATTGTGGATTGTGGAAGTCCATATCCGTATGGCTGTCTTCTTAGTCATAATTAGTAACATTTTGATTCCTCATAACTAGGTCTTAACTGATATCGATTGGCCAAACAAACAAAAACAAAAAAGGTCAATACTAAGGTTATGTGGATGTATTGGTGTCAACAAAAATGCTTACTCGTATTTATTACGGCAGTACAAGGTCAACTAGCCAACTTGAACACAAAACTGCTTCATGATTAACATAAACCTATAAAATTCACCCAAATCTAACCTTTAGCATGATATGATGTGAACATAAAAACTGTAAAAATATAAGAGCTGCCCAACAGACACCAACCGGGCCTCTGAAAGAGCTGGAAAGCTCCACCCTTGGCAGTATGATTTTTATGTTATTAAAGAGTTTGAGAGTTTCTGCTGTTTGAGTTTATGAAAATTGACAGTTGAGAACTGATAATCATATTTGACATTTAACAGGATTGGATCCTGTTTAAACTCAGCTGATATTGTCAGTTATCAGTTTTTTCTTTTATCAGTTTGATTAGCATCAATATCAGTGACATAATGTTCATGTAGTTCAGGTCCTACTTATATAAATACAGTATATAGGTTCTCTAGGACTGGCCATGCAAATCACTGCCTTTGAATATTGCTGTACTGGCACCTGAGCTTTATGGCCCAAAAACCTCCCCACGATCTTGTACGTGCTCACAGTGTCCTTTAGATAATTAAACATGTTAAATGACTTCCATTTTTTTTTAAGAGCGTGGCTTTTCCGTATTGCATAACTGAACATTAGCGCATTTCCCTGCTGCTCTTTCACTACAGCATACCAAGTAAGGGTTTGTCATTCAGGAATTCTTTCCACATTCGTCGTCTCTGAGCTATTTCTCTTTTTACCTATCTGCTAAAAATACGCTCTGGTGTTTGGTGACATTGATCAGGGGGAGAGGGGAGACAGAGAGGGAATAAGAATGTGGTGGAAAAGTGTTTGTTTGCCTTTGCCTACTCAGGAAGCGGTATTACTCCAGCCTTTGGCATTTGGGGCTGCCTGTGCTTTGGGGAGACAGGTGTTACTGATTTAAAGTGTAACATAGAAGATTATATAAAGGGTCGATGTGCCAGAGCGTCTGGAATAGTGTTGTGCTGAAGAATGCGAGCGCGGGTGAGCCTACGGAGGATTTCTGAGCGGGCTTTACTGCGAGCACATCATGGCTTTTCCGAGGCCGTCTCTCAGCGTTCTTATGTAGGAGAGGGCTGAACTGACTGATGTTTTTCTGAGCACTCTGTGACGTTGCCAGTTCATTATCTGTCCGAAACATTTTTTTAACAGGGCTGTTTATAGTCAAAAGAGCATTCATTTTGCCTTAAGACCCATTTATTAACTGTATACTCTCTCTGTCAATGTCCCAGGTTTATTGAACATGGTGAATATAAGGGGAATTACTATGGGACGAGTGTGGACTCTGTTCGGTCTGTTTTAGCCAAAAACAAGGTGTGCCTTCTGGATGTGCAGCCCCATGTAAGTAAAACACACACACTAAGTCTTGTGATGATATTTCTCTTGTTTGTTCCAAACTTGGCAGCCGCTGTTCCTTCTCCACTCAAACCCATCTATCTTTCTCTCTCTCTTGCTTCATCCTGTCTCACACCTCTGTGGTTCCACATTCCTCCACACACTCGCACCTGGCTCTTCCTCAGATCAGAGCACTGTGCCACACACAGCTGTGTCTGTAGAGCCAGGAGTAGAAAGATCTAACATCAGTGCAAAATTTGGAAGCTGTACACATTTTGGCAACCATACACATACATATAGATAGATATTTACACATAACTGGCTCTCTTTTCTATGAATTCTGATTCTGCTGCAAACGAAATTTCAATTTAGGGTGCCAAGATACAATTATGAATTGTTTACATTTATGGCATTTGGCAGAAGCTTTTATTCAGAGCGACTTGCAATTTGATCATTTTACAGAGGTGGGCGAAGGTAGTGTTAGGCATCTGGCCCAGGGACTTTTATTGGTATAAAGTGGGGAGCTTGGTTAGGTGGGTGCTCAAACTCCAGTCTGCAGCGTGGGGGGGGCTGGGGGGGCGACTTGCTACCCACTACACTATACCAACTGTAAAGCAATTCTCAATGCATCTTGATGCTTCTCAATTCTTGATTTCTATGGCCTACATTATGCACTGTTAATAGTTGAATTTGAATGGAGTGTTCATTCAGTGCACTTGTAAAGTCTGCAGAAATGTTTTATTTTCTAATAGGTTTAAACCAACAAAAGCTAAACTACATTATTTGATCATTTTGTTCTTTGTATAAGATGATGTATATAATATAGCAAATTGTACAGCTTTTTTTGTTAGCTTTTGGTTTAAACCTGTTAGAAAATAAAACATTTCTGTAGACTTGTGCACTGTGCACTGAATGAACACTCCATTCAAATTCAACTATTAACAGTGCATAATATAGGCCATAGAAATGGATGCTGGTGAAATATTATATTCAGAAAAGACTGGAGTTGAGAAACCCTGCCATAGAGCATTGCAAGGTAACACACTAAAACAGATGTCCGGACATAACATAAATGCATGAGAGATTCCAGCTTTTTAAATCTAATTTAACGTTTTTGCTTATATAATCATAAACATGATTTAAGTAGCAGTGTTCAGTGTAAAAACTTGTACTTTATCCTAAGTTTTTTTTTCCTAATTACACTGCTGTGCTATTGCTAACGTTTGTTAGCACTTTAATGTGGTTTTCAATGTTATGTTGAAGCTATATAAAAATTCAATTGATGATTTTTTTGTGAAACAATTCCTAATCTTTCAAGAAAGAAACACAGTACATCTAAGGCTTGATTATTTTTCCACCCCTGTACTTTACACAATGATGCACATAGTCACTTTTGTGCACATAGTCACTGTTGGTTATTAGCACTTGTTCTTCCTTTCATTCAAACATGCACACTTCAGTATCTATCTTAGCATGTTTCAATTGAGACAGTAAAAGTACAAATAATGTATAAAAGGCTCTCAGAAACCGGTCTGAAGTGAGTAGTTACTGGAAGTTCATTTGAATGAGACTCAGATTAGGAGTCTAGAGAATTAAAGAATACACTTCGAATCATCTTTCATGTCAGTCTAATATTAATCAATGTAATATATAAAGGCAAAGACGGATCCTTCAGAAGCGCTCTTGCTGAGAGGCTTGATTAACACAGCTCTTAGAGTCAAGCTGGCAGGCATGCTAACCAACAAGCAAGAAGTCCAACATGGGAAATCTAATACAAAATTTATATGTCTCCTACTTGCTGGCCAGAGTGCCTTCTGGCACCATCGAGGCAGTGTTTACTTTATGCAGTGCCTGCATACTGCAGGAGCTCAGTTGAGCTTAGCCTGATGCCTTTATTATTACACTGTCTTACACTGCCAGATTTAAAAGGAGTTTTAGACTTGATGGACTTGATGCAGAAACTGGTTTATCATCATCAACTCTTAATATATGGACCCATGTGATTAACCTCTAATTAGGCTTGAAGAGCCAAAGAAGTTCTGAAACTGCCTTGATTCAGTTTGGAGTTGTTCTCTCTCACACTGCTGAGATCCGCCGTATTTTTCTGAAGTGATGTGAAATTTGTGTTACTTTGTGTGCTAATGGTTGCTTAGTGTCACAGAGATCTGAGAGTTTATCCACATGGCATGTGCAGTTTTTTAGCAGAACATATGCACACTGTGGAAAAGGGTTGGGTGAAGTAGAGTTTAAATAGATGATGTGTTGATTAGGATCCTCTCAGACAGTCATATGATTAATTTTATTCAATCAGTCTATATACAGAAATGGCTCACTTAATGCAGGGTCTTGACCCCCTTATGGCAAAGAGGCACATGTGCCAAAGTTGCAAACCTGATGAGCAGGTATCTGTGTCTTTGTCTTTGCAGTAATGTGGAAGCAGACCATTCACCAGAAAGTAGTGGGCTTGCGATGCAGTAAAAGACAGTAGAAATATCCCATCAGTAGTGCTGGGCTGTTAAAATTAAATAGCAAGATGTTTTCTGAATATGTCAGAGTATCAGATATTTAAGGTCACATTTAAAAAGTTAAAGACTCTGTGCATTAATAAAGTTGATTTATGTTAGCATTAATAAAGTTAATCAGTTTGTATTAATAAAGTTAATGAACCCATATTTCTTGAGCGCTGCTACTCCATGCTAAAAGAATGTCTTAGAAACCTGATGTAACTTGTTTGGATTGGACAGTTTTGTTCTGTTTTCTTCTCTTAAAATTACACCGAAGGGAACTTTACACAGTATTTTGAATGTTAACACGACAGAACGCACAGTTCCAAAAGAACGATGTGAAGCACTCAGAAAATGATATGCACTACAGTAACTGCCAGGTCCCGGATAGTAAATAGGAGTAAAACGTGCTCACAAAATAGACTTTAAAAACTCAGAAGAGAGAGAGGGGGAGCACTTGGGCTATACCACTGAGTTCTATCATGGGTATAGTGATCGTCTCTCAAATACAGTGCCCTCCACAGATTGGCACCCCTGGTAAACATGGGCAAAACAGGCTGTAAAAAAACATTTTCTTACTCATCCTTTATTTAAAGTACAATAATTGAAAAAAAAACTAAATCTTATCAGGAAATGAATATTTTTCTTAGGTCTGTGTGTGCCACAATTGTTGGCATCCTTTCATTTAGTATTTTGTGTAGTCCTCCTTTGCAAAGATAACAACTGTGAGTCTTTTCCTGTAATGCTTAATGAGGCTGGAGAACACATGGTAAACAATTGGAGACTCTTCCTCCAAACAGACAGTGGCCTCTCCAGCTCAGCCCACAAGGGCTTAGGTCAGGGAACTGAGGTGGCCATGGCAAAACCTTTCTGTGATCATTTTTGTGTTGATTTTGAGGTGCGCTTTGGATCATTCATGGCAAATATATATATATATATATATATATATAAAAAACAGTAAATATATTCATTGAGACACATCATGGATCTTATGACAACAAAAAAACTTTGTCTTGGTGCTTTAACATTTTAGAGATCAGCACTGAGTAGTGTTTAGTTTTGTTAGCTGTGTAGTTTATTCTAATGTTTATAGTATGTGTGCTAGCAAAACAAGTGCTTTCTTGCCTATAATTTCACTCTCAAGAAGAAAATGTAGCTTAGTTAAACTCTACATGTGATTCAGTGTCACTTTAGACAACAGTGTGATGTATCATTTAAACAGTACCACCAATGTTAGCTACTATATAAACATTGCGAAGAAGCTAATCAGCCACTTTAGGCTTGTACGTTAATAGTTGCATATGACAAAAAAGAAACGACAATTAAATGGTTAATCACAACTATTTACTCGACAATTAATTGTCAGCTAAAATTCCATGCTTGTGACAGGCCTAGAGCACCTACAGGAACTAAAACGTTATTCCATGATTCACTGGAATTGTTTTGCATTTCCCATGTAAGTTGTGAGTTAATGCCTTACAGTGGTGGAACCACCAAATTACTGGATTTCACCACTAAATATTAGAGTTTAGGCCTGGTTCTTTCTGCTTTTATGGGAACAGTTCAGTCATTTACCAAAATACCAACACCCAGCTTTGTGCAATCTCATTTAAATGAAGCTCTCATTTTCTTGCAGCAAACTGCCCACCATTGACCACTGCCAAATTGTGGATTACAAGGTGACAGAAACACCAGTATATTGCTTTCAATATATAGCAGTGAGTCTTGGCACTGCTGCAAAAATAGCCTGTCAAAGCAGGCATATAGACTCAAATCCACAAAATGGGTAAAACATGAACTTTCTTAAAGCATGTATTTTGTCAATGCCACAGCCTTTAAAAGACAAAGGAAGTCCATTCTGTGCCAGAGTCTTTCTTCAGCTTTCACATCAGCCCATCCAAACCTACAACAGTATCCATGTCATTATGCTCTCAGTGCACTTCAGAGCTCGTCTCACTGGACCCAAAGCCTAGCCAGACCAACATGATCCTGGCCACACACACTGGGCTTTGGTGGTCCTTGACTGTTTCTTGTCTTTATCTCAGAGACAGAGCGTAAGAGTGAAGGGAAAGGAACAGTGCCAGTGGTTCTGTTAGCTATCCACTTCAGCCAACTTTATAAAGCTGTTTTTCTCTCTCTCCTGTGCTCTCTTTTTTGCTGGGTGTCTCTTATTTTCTCACTGACCTTGGCCTCTTTGAGTTCACAGACTCAGGTTTGATAAAACAGGATGAAAGTAATTAGGACTCTCTACAGTGAATGCCTCCCTTCCTAATGTCATATTAGTTCAGCTCAGTGTGAATGATCTGCTTTGTTGTGTTTCAAAATGTAATAGTGACTAATATCAATAATGTACAATAGTATCAATATCAAGCACGATTATGATGGTGTGATTGATGGTGTTTTGATGACTTTCATTTTTCTTTCTTTTTCTTTTTCTTTTCTTTCGTTCTCTGACCTTTCTCTCTCTCTGTTGACAGACACTGAAGCATCTCCGCACAGCTGAATTTAAGCCCTACGTGGTGTTTGTGAAGCCTCCGTCCATTGAGCGTTTAAGAGAGACCAGGAAGAATGCTAAAATAATCTCAGGAAAGGATGACAAGGGCTCGTCCAAATCTTTTACGGTAAAATTCAGTTAAATTAAATTAAATTCAAATTTTCATTTCTCACACACTACAAAGGGATTTTACTTGATTCAGATGTGTATGTCACCTTCACATGACTAAAATATGTCACACCAGCACAGTTGTTGCCAGTATACCGCAAGACAAAATTGCTATATGCTATGTAGAGTACTAGTCAAAAGGTGGGACATACCTACTCTTAGGAGTGTTTTCCTTATTTTTACTGTTTTCCACATTTTATAAAAAGCTGTGAAAAACACCAACGCTATAACAAACACATATGGAATTATGCAGAGACCAAAAAAGGTAAACAAATCAGAACTACCTTCTATTTTAGATTCTTTTAGAAGGTATACCCCCTTTGCCTTGATGTAGCTTTGCACGTCCTTGATGTTCTCTCCACTTGAGAGCCACTTGAGACACTTTTCCAAGGGACTGAAGAAGACACACATACGCTGAGACTTTCTAAAACAACTTGTTGAGACGACAACTCAACGCTATAGATCCGGAAGGATGTGCAGCTGTAAAGAAGCTCTTACTAAGGAGCAAAATTCAAATAAAGAATCTGCTGGTCTTTTCAGAACAATGGACTAAACACCCCAGAGCCCAGACCTCATCATAGAATGTGTTTAGTATTACTTGCACTGTGAGAAGCAAAACTGCAACCAATTTCTAAGACTGAACTCTGGAGGTGCGGAAAAATATTCTTGCAAGTTTTTTTGAAAAGCTGAAAGCATGTCTCCTGAAAAGAATCATAGCTGCAAAAAAGGCAAAGGGTGGATGTACAAAATGCTGAAAATCTTTACATTTAGTTGTTGAGGCTTACTGCATACTGTACTTTCTTTATTTGTGTGTTTGTTTTTTTCCACTGAAAAATGTATATCTTTTAATGTATATTTTTTCATTTTTTTGTTTTGGAAATAATTTTGTACATGTGCATCAACTTTCATTTGTGTTTAAGCGTAAGCCTTTAGCTCAGAATGTCTTTAGGATTATGAAATATGCATATTCGTTTACGCCTGTCCACACTTTGACTGGCAGCGTATTAATGTGAAATTAATGTACACGTTTAAATCAACTTCAATACATAACTTTTTTTCAAATTTGAACTCCTGAGTAAGCAGTTTCAGATCCAGGCGAAATGTCCTACATAGCTGTTTTTGTTTATTTTTATTTGAGGTCAATCAAACACGTCCACAGTTTGCCGTTAACTCTCTCTGACTGTTGGACAATCCCTTTACACTTGGGTGACTTTGTGTGCGTGTGCTCTCGCGTGTGTATGTGTGTGTGTGTGTGTGTGTGTGTGTTTGTGTCAGCTTCCCCTGGAGTGGTAATGTGATAAGCCTGAGCTCATGCTTCACCTGCATGGATCCACTCAAAGGGGACACACATGAAACCAATTAGCACATGAACCGTACTGTTCTTTGTGTGTAAGCGTGCGTGAGGGTGTGAATTAGTAGGCAGTCTAATAGCTTTCACAGAGTACAGTTCTTGCGTATATTACTGTGAAGCTGCACCTGAGCCAAGCCCCGGTCGCCGCGGGATACCCTGACCCCGGCAGCCTGACCCCTCCACACGTCTGGCTGTCACCGTGGAGACGTTCCACGTGCCGGTGTTGAAGGTCGCCCTTAAACGTTGTTAAGTGCTGTAAAAGCCACGCAGGTGTGCTCACATGTTAGCCTAGCGACCTAGCCTTCACTCCTCCACACAGCTCTCCAGATCTCGCTCTGTCACTCACACAGCACGACTCTGTAAGTTTGCAAAGGAAGGCTGATTTGTATACTAGAGATTTCTGCAGCCACTTTGCTGTGTTTAGTTTGACTGAAGCTGCGGTGTGAAAATGATTAGTGCTGTGTTTGTTAGTGCTCAGTCTGTTCCTGCACCTTTACAGGATCAACTGCCAAAATATAAGTGATCACAGACACACACATACACACACACACACACACACACACACACACACACACACACACACACACACACACCACTCTCAGTGAATCAGAAGACATACAGGACTATCACTCGCTCTTCAGTGTTCAGTACAGTAAAAGGCCCATTATTATGTGTGACTTAAACACTTGCATGCACACCAAAGATATAATAGCAACTCAAGATAATAGACTCAGGGTAGATTTACTAAGAAAGGCACTAATTACTGGCAGTCTACTGACAGTTTGTACTATATTAGTCTATTAGTCTAAAAATAGCAGCATTTCACTCCTATAGGTTCTAGATAGTGTCAAGTGAATTCTGGAGAGCTAATATGAGTTTAATAAGCCACTAATACTTTAAGATGTGTTCCATATTCTAAAGTGGAATTATAATCATCACTAAGTTTTTAAGAATTACTAACACCAATCTGTCGGTATGTGTTCCATACAAGAGATGACTGAGTAAAACTGCACTTTATTAAACTCTTAAAAACTAAATCCCAATAAAGCAGTAAACACTGACATATCGTAGAACCTATATGTATCAAGTGTTATTATTATTATTATACATCATTATAACTTTTTATTTTCACATAACGCATGCCCACTTATGTACTGATACAAGTCAGAATGAATTCATGCATAATAAATAAGCCATTTAGAGGTGTCTAATTTCATCATTATTGAACAACGAACAAGTCCTTCATAAACCTTCAATATGTTGTCCTTAGAATAAAATGAGTAGCGTGCGATCATGTTTTATGAACATATGAGCACAGTATACCCACGTGTTTGGCTCTCATGCTTTATATCTGAAAGCCTGTTACCACCAGGTAGGAGAAAAGGCCTTTTTAAATCCTTTGGGGATTCTGGTTCAGATTAGGTCAACATTTATAATTATAAAATTAATAACACAATTAAAGTTTTTCTTTCCTTCATCAGAGTAAAAAAAGTGAAAATATTTTTTCCATCCCAAGTAAAATAATGTGTTTGGAAAAACACTGTTTTCTTATCAACAGTGGCAGCTTAACGCCAAAAATAAGACAAGGTTTTCACAGGTGTTAAATAACGCACGGTCAGTATTTACTATCAGTCTTTGTAAATCAGTCAGTGGTTCATTATGATGATCTCTAGTATTTTGTGCTTTAAGAGGGAAATTCCTGTAAATGCATATGTAATGAGGCGAAAGCACAAAAGAGCTGTGACCACGCCTTTGGTCTTATTATGGTCACTAAAGGGCTGCTGCACCTGTTTAGTAAATTGCGATAGCTTATAGCCAGCAGAGCAGCAGTAGCACATTCTACTATCATGTAGCTAAAACCAGTAGTGGCAGCAATCTAAAAGCCTGCATTATGTCCATACTGCTGATCATGTTTATAGATAACAGTATGTCATACAGTGCCAGAAACCACATAAGCACGTCCAAAATGGTTTGAGGTAAGTGGGGTGAGCAGTATGGCAAAACTTATACTTGGACATTTTGACGTTTGATAAGTTACAGACAAGAACTAGTGGTGCCACATTTAAAATAAAAAAAAAAATCCGGTTAAAGAGGACTAATTATGCTCTGTTTGTAATGAAACATGCCATTGTTCAGTGTTTATGTACAGACAGTATCCACAGTATGCTCAGAAAAAAACATTGGGAAATTTATTTGTGATGAAATTTATCACAATAATGATAAATATCGTCATATTTCCCACCCTTAGTAGCAAGTGTGATTTAAGCATGCAGTTTGTACAGTACTAACTGGTGACTGTTAGCTTCTGTTGCTTGTTATCTTATAGCTAAACTCAAGCAACAAACTTCAGACAGCAAATATGTGTTGGTTGATCGACCCCATTTGTGGTAAGGGAAAAATTGTGTAAATTTGAATATTGGCTGGACCGTCACTTTAAAGGAACACGTAATCGCTCAAAAAATGTCCTTCTCCAAAACCTAATGTTTCTAACAGGTGTCACGAGTTTCAAAACGGATGCTGTAATGCCATTAATAAAATGCCTACTCAGTCATCAGTGCTCAACTTTCAGCTCTCTGTATCTTCATTTTCTGAAGAATCCTGTTTACTACAGTAAATATACACAGAATAATAAAGCACATACACTTTATAGGCAACAGCAGCCTAGAGAAATGTTCTGCAGTGTGGCTGCTTTCAACAAATCAGCCTCAGAGGAGCTCCACAGTTCCTGACTGATCAGTAACACGGCCTTATAGACGCTGACAGTGTTAAAAGCACAGACATCTTTCCTATTATTGGAATGAAAGAAAAACCTTGTTTGATGAAAATGTCACCAACGTATTTTATCCTGGCTTTCACCATATTTCTTTCCCAGAGAAATGCCTTCTCCTGGTCTGCTAGAGCGATAAAGTCTCTTTGAAATGGGACTAACACTACTCCATGAAACAGGCTTCTCATTGTTTCAGTATTGCCAGACTTCTGCTGTATTGTTCTCTCTTTAATATCTCCTGTATAACATTATTTCATTTTTTCGTCCCTCACGCTCCTTTTTTCTGTGTAAGAGGTGCATGCCTTCATTTCTGGTTTCAAAAATAATGGAGGTGAAAATCCTTAAGCTTCATAAAAGTGTCATCAGATGTGGATAGGCATAGTGAGTCATAAATATGTTTCATTGTATGACATGTAATACTCTTAAGGTGACACAAAGCAAAGCAGGAGAAAAGCAACTTTCTCTATTTTTTCTTCACCTGATGATAGTATGTGGTCATCTGGGAGTTGGGGTTGAAGAGCCTTTACGTGGGGAATATAAAAACAGGGACCTTTTGCTGAACCAGATCTGTCCTTTTTTAAATGGGTTAAATGCAGAGGGCAGGTGCTTTTTATTTGAATCAATAAAAAGCGATTTTCCGTCAAGCCCCTGAAGGCATCTGAGATAATCAGAAGTCCTGCTGATAGAGGAAAAAAGGAGGGAGTGTAGAAGATTTTTTAAGACCTCAGAACATAATACTTAAGTGGGATGAAGCAAGAATGATATATCAGTAGATAATAAAAAAAAAACATAATCCAAAAATAAAATATAATCGCAACGAAAAAATGGAAGATATGGCAGAAAGTAGACATGTTGAGAAACAGAATGAAAGTTCTGTTTTGTTGCTGCTGACCTCAGAGGCGGTGCAGAGCACAGTCGATACTCCTCATGCACCTTCACTTGCAGCCAGTAATAGAAATACCCTGCTCTCATGGGAGTCATCCTCATTCCTCCTCTGGCAGTGATGCAGGTCAACAGCTTGGATGCTATTCTACATCCCAGTGATACTGTCTGAGCTTCAGGATCCCACTTTGTGCTCTTTGACAGTGGTGACTCACCTCCTTAGATTGCTCTGACCTGGTTGCTGTTGCCACAGTGGCTTGCCACACGTCACCATATTATCTATCTAATCAGTAGTCCTGCTGGATAATCAGCAATACTATGCAATCTATTTTTACTATCGAATCTATTTTTTCATGAGGCTTCTAATGTTTACTGTTTCTCTGTTCTCTCTTTCATTTGAATGCAGTTCTGGATGGTGACATTAGAACCCTTCAGTGACCACAAGCACTGTTCTCTATGACTCAGTATGAATAATTTTAAGCAGCCTCTTCAAGTAGCCTCTTTTTGCAGGCCCTCTAATAGCTAATTTTTATAAGGCCTTGATCAGCTGAGTCAAGTGTGTTCAATCAGGGTTGGTAGAGGAGAACTGGTCACCACTCTCAGAGGATGTAGCACCTTGCTTTTTTAGAAAGTAACAGTGGTACTGTGATTTTCGGATGACCTGCAGAGTTGTCAGTCACTAGGAACCTGCAAGAAGATTCTTGGAGGACGTATCCATGTGAGCAGAGTGTTTGTATTACTGGTTACATGCAGAACATTTTCTTCCTATGGCTATAAAAGCATATAGTTCATATATAAAGCATATAGATCATTGATCAGAACTCGACAAAACCCATCATTCAGTTTATTTGCTTTTTTCCGAGAAAGAGGCAAAACTAAATAAAGTGAATGAGAAGCGATTGTCAGCCCAGAGGCCTGGTGTCTGAGCCACACACCATGCCTTTTTATGCTGCACTTTTCTTGATACTGTGCTTGCAGAAGGAATGACTGTCTGCTCTTCATGCCTTTGGCCATATCTCTGTGGCTCATGTGTTTTTGTGTAGTAAATCCTTGTTCTAAATCAGTAAAGCCGCTCAAACCATGCCATGTTCTCTGAGACTAGCACTAAAACCTAGTCTCCACCACACAAACGCTAAACTCGGATCCACAAGCCCAAAGAGGATGAAGGCCATACAGGCTAAGCAGGAATCCAGGGATAAACAATTTTCTGGATGAGTGAGCATGAAATTCATATGCAAGATGTCTTTGAGACCTTATGTTCAGCACATTCGTGTGTGTGTGTGTGTGTGTGTGTGTGTGTGTGTGTGTGTGTGTGTGTTTTTTTTTTTCCTGTCCTGATTAACCTAACATCTCATTAAGAGTCTGATAATTAGCCAGTGTATTGAATCAAGTGAGTGGAATTCAGCCTGAAATTGGAAGCCATAGGAAGCCTTTGTATAAAGTCTCTGCATGTGAAGTATAGTGAGGCTCATCCTAATGTTTTTGCGTCCTCCCTAAAGCTATGACTGAATACATTGCAACTGTGTGAGAAGGGTGGCACATTTTATGTGTGGGTCCTTGCTCCTCTGATGTGGTCTAGAGTGCATTATACATTCAGATGTGCGGCTGTGTAAAAGTGTGGTGAGCCTGATCACTTCAGCACCGCTCATTTCAACTGTTTCACATCCAGACCTCAAACTATAACAGGACTGCTCGCCACTTCACTAAAGCATTAAATATCACTGTTATATTTTATACATCATTGGTAGATATTTTCTACATTTCTGCCTTTTAAGCAACTTTTATTTGATGATGAAAAATATAGCTCTTTTATTCTGAGGCAGTCTATGAAAAAACTTTGGTTCAACCTCAGCCTGAATTAGACTCTGGGAACACATGTGATGATTTGTTTCTGTGTAGTGGAGACTGTGTTGGAGTAGCTACTTAAGAAAAGTAATTACAAATTACTGCAGTAGAATTAGTTTATATTTTACTTGTTGGACAAATGTTTACTCATTCTTCATTACTTTGCTTCTGTATTACTCTGTAGAACCCAAATAACTATGTACAAACTGGAAAGTACAAGGGAAAACCTAGTAGTCCTTCAGTACTTTATTCAGAATTAAATATCCAATAACAATAGCAAGACCTGTCACCATCCCAGCCTTTGAACAACACACAGCCAGTCGTGCTTGAATAAATTTATGAATTTTGCTGCTGCTGTTTGAAAATGTAAACCTAGCCAAAAACTGCTGCCTCAAAATAAAATATTCATGAATAAAATTCATGAAAAAAAAAAACTTACAGAGCTGAGTGTGGCCTGTTTTGGTGAAGCAGGGGTTCTCTCTACTTCAGCACATGAATCTTTATCCATCAGTTTCATGTTGGTATGTTCAGATGTATGTTGAAATATTCAGAGGCACAGATAATCTGTGTATAGAAACTTTACAATTTTAATGTCTCGCACATCATTAATGTTGTTCTGTTAAGTCCTAATGGAGCTGGATTAGTTTCACCTGGGGAGGTGCTGTATTTTAAGTGATTACCAATGAGAGTTGAGATTTTAATCCAGTATGAATCTGCCATGTCTGTAGTTTTTACAAGTCTGCTAAGTAATAAATCCAGAGCAAATCACCTACTGTAATTTGTCAAATTTGGAGTCCTTTTCAAATTGACATCACAGTATTGTAATAACAAATCCTGGTAATGGACATTGGCACCTCTGTTCTTTGGTGACCTAAAATAGAGCCCTTCGCACAATTCCCTTATCCTCAGGTGCAAAACAGGAGTACTGTAATCTAAACATTTTTGGTGCAGGGCTAATTTTAAGGAGATTGAAATAAAATATCTGAAAGTACCTCTCAAAAGGCAGAGCGATTTCTGTCCCGTTTGGCAGCATTTGTTAAGTTAAATGAGCTCACTTTACTAGCTTAACGCTATTCTGTCTGGTATTAAGTGGAAGTTTGTTTTATGTTTTGTTTTGCTTTGTTTTGCATCCATTTAATTTTAATGTTAATGCTCAAGTGAATGCCCAGGCTATGATATATCAATCCAGGCCATCTGAGGTAATACTAATAGGCCAATCAAATCTCTTACAATTTACAATACCGGACCTTCTCTGGTAAAACAAATCCAGCTCGAACATGTCTTTGGAGGCACATGAGTAATGCAAGTTACAAATCGCTACCTTTTTTTTGTTGTTGTTGTTTTTCAGTTTTTGACATAAATTGAAAATACCTGTTGCCCTTTACATTTGTATGTCGATGAATGAACCAAAGGAAATGGCCCAAAATAACATGGAAAAAATCTGGTTCCATTGACTTACAATAAAACTAAGTATGTTTTTACCTTCTCCTGTAAAGTTGTCATTTTGGAGACAACAGTGAAATTCATATTGAATCAGTAGCTATAATGTGGTTACAAGAATCTAAACTGTAATGCTTTACACTGCTTTGTTAAAGAAAAAAATAATTATGGTACTATGTTACTTATACCGCATTACCCCCAACACTGGTGGGAACATATTTCAGTCAAGCAAACAATACTATGGTAGTTTTGCTAATTCATTAATTGTTTGCTGTTGATCAGGAGGAAGACTTCCAGGAGATGATCAGTGCCGCTCAGCTGATGGAGAACCAGTACGGTCACCTCTTTGAAAAGGTCATTGTCAACGACGACCTGACGGCTGCTTTCAGCGAGCTAAAGCTCGCCCTGAGGAAGGTGGAGACAGAACCTCACTGGGTCCCTATCAGCTGGACACACTCCTGAGAGACAGCACACAAACAGCGAATGAGGGAAAAGTTTCAAAAAAGAGAAGAAACACGACAAAGGGAAGAACGTTGTAGTCTATGACTGCAGACAGAGCTTTCATTTAGCCTAAATCTGGTGATGGGGGTTGCTTTTGGGATATTTTAACAGATCTCTGATGGTTTATGGGTTCCTACAACACTACAGGAAGGAATTATGGGTTTGTTTTTGTTTGTACTTGGTCAACATAGCTGGACCGGAGTGAACTGAACTATCTAATTACACTCAAATGTCGTCAAACGTTTCTGATCGTTTAGCAGCCACTGCGGAAGAATGTGTACCCCGACTGCCAATCAAGTGGTTGAGTGGCATTGACCACTCTGTGGTAATTTTAACGTTAGTTTATAGAAACCAAAGGGATGATTATTATTTTTCTGTGGTCAGTGTACATTTTTGTATTGAAGCTTAGATGTGAAATTTGGGAAAGTACAAACAGTTTGGCCTTTTAAGTCTTAAACTGTTCTCATTGGGTGACGCTTTTTTAAGCACACAACCCCCTGTGAGCTGCAATGTTAGTACAACGCCGACAAAACATTTACTCAGAACATTGATGAATGACCTCCAGGGGGGTCTATGTAATTATATTTAATTAGAAAATTAATATATTTTAATATTGTTTCTGAGGTTTATACATTTTATATACACATAAGTAATATCATAACCATCTATCCTCTCAAAAACAAGCTCAGAGCAACACTCCATGGAGTATTTTTCAACATAAGGTCCAATAAAGATGATTAGTGCTGAAGAATTAAATCAGAATCCTATCAGAATTAAAAGGTTTATCGGTTCAGGAGACCTTTTAATTTCTAACATTCTGCTCTCACTTTTGGGCAGAATGCTTCGATACTTGATACTTTACTCTGAGTACAAGGCTTAAAAACAAGGCAGGTCAACACATGTTTCAAAGAAACATTTAAAATGCAATCTGAAGAGACTCTATGGCAGCGGTGTGCAACTGTTCCTGGAGGGTCAGTGTCCTGCACAGTTTAGTCATTTCCCTGCTCAAAGACACTACCAAACTGAGCCGGACACCAGTCCTCCAGTAAAGTAGACTACCTCTGCTCTCTGCTTGACCTTAAAGGGGAATTCCACAGATTTTTCAGTGTTTTACTGTTTTTAATTAATAATTTTACCATTTTTAATTAATAATTCAGTTGTTGAGATCTAACTGAAGTCATTCAGTGTGCTCTGATGTGAAATGGTGCATTTTAGAGAACTTACCAACAAGTTCTTTGCCGTGGTGGTGATGGGAACCAGAGGTCCCAGTGTTTACAGTGCAAATATAGTCATTTTATTTACTATCCAAAACCACCAGTGGAACTATACATAGTATTTGTGTGTTTTTATACATATTGCTGATGGTAAAAAAGTGATAAATCTGATTTTTTTTTTTTTCTTTGGGGACTGTTATAACTTACCCTGCCTTGCTTATACCTCTCTACTATGAATGGAATTAACGTAAATTTTAACTCACAACTATTGTAAATCAGTGTGTCAGGCATCACATGACATATTCGTAGTCATTTCATGTACAACCCCAATTCTCAAAAAGTTGGGATGCTGTGAAAAATACAAATATAAACAGAATGCAATGATGTGCAAATCATTTAAACCAAAATACTACAATGACTACATCTCACCTGTTGAAACTGAGAAATTTTGTTTTTTGAAAAATATATGCCCATTTTGAATTTGATGCCAGCAACATGTTTGAATAAAGTTGGGACAGAGGCATGTTCACCACTGTGTTTCATCACCTCTTCTTTTAACAGCACTCTGTATGCGTTTGGGAACTGAAGAGTCCAGTTGCTGTCATTTTGAAAGTGAAATGTTTTCCTGTTCTTGTTTGAGAGAGGATTTCAGCTGCTCAACAGTTCAAGGTGTCTATTGTCATGTTTTGTTTTAGAATGTGGCAAGTTTTTTAATGGGTGACAGGTCTGGGCTGCAGGCAGGTCCTGGAGTCTTTTGCTACAGAGCCATGCTGGTCTATTACCTGCAGAATGTGCTTTGACATTGTCTTGCTGAAATAAGCAAGGCTGCCCCTGAAAAAGACGTCATCGGAATGACAGCTCCAAAATTTGTATATATCGTTCAGCATTAAGGGTGACATATGTGCAAGTCCCCCATCCCATGTGCACTAATGCACCATTGTGGATGCTGGCTTTTGAACTGTGCACTGATAAAGTCGGATGATCCTTCTTCTCTATAGCCCAGAGGAGTTCCAAAAAGAATTTCAAATTTTGATTCTTTGGACTACAGGGCCCTTTTCACTTCACCTCAGTCCATCTTAAATGAGCTCGGGCCAAGAGATTGCAGCAGCGTTTGTGGTTCCTGCTTACATATAGTTTCTTCTTTGCATGGTAGAGTTTTAACTTGCATTTGTGGGTGAGCCCATGCAGTGATTTCCACTACAGAATCTTGTTTTTAATGCATTGCTGCCCAAAGATCGCAGCCAGCCAGCCAGTATTGGTTTTTGGCCTTGTCCCTTGCAAACAGATTTCTGTGGAGTAGATGATGAAATCCCCAAGTTCTTTGCGAGTTTGAGAAACATTATTTTTGAATTGTTGCACTATTTGTCTGTGCAGTCTTTTATAGAGTGAAAACAGATGAACCCTTCCCCATCTTTACTTAGGAAAGACTCAGTGTTTCACCAGGTGTTTTTTCTAGCATTACATAACTTTACCAGCCTTTTGTTGCCCCCGTCCCAACTTTTTTGAAATGTGCTGTTGGCATCAAATTCAAAAACAATACAATTTCTCTATTTCAGCATTTGATATATTGTCTTGGTACTATTTTGAATTAAATATAGGGTTTGAATGATTTGCACATCATTGCATTCTTAATTCTTTATTTTTTGCACAGCATCCCAACTTTTTTGGAAAAGGGGTTGTAATAGCTTTCCATGAGGGAGCATTTAGAGGTATTAAGCTGTTTAGATGTCTGCTTCCTATCACTACTATTGTGAACAGTTCTGACTCTTAGGTTTCTCTAGAATGGAGCAGTTCACATCAAACCACTATGATTGACTTTGTTTGCATCTTAACCATAAAATTATGCAGAAATTTTGAAAAATCAAAGGACTTCCCCTTTAACATTAGTCAGTCTTCTGTACTTATCCCATTTGTTTTTATTTGTTTGTTTTTTTTCACATTTTTAGTCTTCCATTTACTCTTTAGGCTCTGGGTTGCACTCCTCTTGTTTATCTTCTGCTGTCTCCATCTTAATTTGTTTAGGTGAAACATTCCGTTTGAATACATTGTGTACCCTTGCCTTCATTACCGAGGGGCACTTCTATCTTTCTTGTGCTCTCACAGCTCAGAGACACTTCTTAAAGTGAAATACAGCAATAAGTGAAAGTCATTAAACTGATTGTTCCTGAACAACATCCTCATATATTATGCATTGTGTCTGTCTCAAACGATTGTTCTTCATTCATTAGTTATAATTGGATGGCCCTCATTCACCATCTACTTTACATGGACCAGGAATTTACTGTGATGTTTATAAGGACAGAAGAACGGTTGGGATGACAGAAAAAGTGCAGACAATTTACTGCTTGCCAAACAAATACTGACACATGTCTCAGCCAATCAGGATTGTCTCTAAATACTACTACCTCTGTCAAGTGGAAGGTAAAACTTCAACAAAATTCAAAATGAACCTGCAGTTGGAACGGCAGTGACAGTAAATTAATCAGACGTTTTTAATACTACAGTGTTACTGAGGAATGTTCAATTCACACACACTATCCTGATCATCTGAAGGGTGGCGCTGTTTTTATTCCATTATCAAAGCTGTTTTGGATTAATCAATGTGAAGGGTCATGCAGCTGTACGTGAAGACTATTCACAGGCAGACTTATGCTGACTGTGAGGTAAACCACACTTTGTCTAGGTTACTCTGTTTGCTAATATACATTTTAAAGTAATGTCTAATGACAAATAATGTTTACAGAGCAATGTTAAGATCTGTTGACTTTAATTGTTTTTCTGCCACATAGCTTAACTTGGCACTTGACCGTTTAATAAATTAGTCTGATTAAACAGGACCTTTCAGTGCTTACATTCATGATTAAAAACAGTCTGTATGAAGGGAAATCCTAATACACTCCTACACGTCATTACTTCTATTGTTTCACTGAAGTCTGCTGTGTGTGTGTGTGTGTGTGTGTGTGTAAACTGAGTCATTGTTGTTTTACAGAATTATTGTACGACACAAATGGTCAGTTGACCACTTTCATTAATTACTGTTGCTCTGTCTGTCCAACTTTCAGCTCGGCCCACCTGGTGGCATGTTGGCAAATGCACAAATGCATTAATGACTATCTTTACACAAATAGTTTTACTACCAAATGTGAGAGCTGTACAGTCCTGTTTTATCTGACTTATGCTAGCTGTCCACTTCTAAGTTAAGAAAAGCTAACTTAGCTAGAAAATTGTTATTTAGATGAAAATGAAAGTTAGCAAATACAGTAATCTAGACCAATTTAAGCTTAACTGAGGTAAGCATGTAGATTAAATTTAAAACATTTTCAGCTTCAGGAGTGAAATAAAACCAGACCACACTCTGGATGGATCGGGATAGCATGTGTCAATTACATGTTCCTCAGTAACACTTTTCCTCTCTTAGTCTAATAATTCTGACTGATTTACTGCCACTACCACTTTCACTGCAGGTTTGTCCTGAGGAGTTTTTCTTGTGCTTGACAGAAGAAGAAGCACTTAGAGACAGTTGTGACAGGTCAGCTGTTATTTTGCAAACAGTCAATAAGCTGTTTACCTGATGATGGAAAGTACTTCCTGGAAAGGGCTGTGAGCTGAATGAAAGGTATCTGCAAAATGTGTCCTGCATATTTATTCACCCTGAAGTTTTACGCTGTTGTGATGAAGGACAAATGGCATCCAGTCACCTTCTCTGCAAATCTGACGACCTGTTGAAGTCTGTCCTTGAAGAGAGCACACACAGATCCAAACCAGCCTGTGACGGGATGTATGGATGCTCTCAGTGGTAGCCTTAAACAGCTGGACTAAAAAGGGCTGTGTGACCTTGAGTCAAATCACAAAGAAGGTACAACCTTTACTGAGCTGCTCTACTCATAGTTTCTTTCTTAGCTCTTTTATATCATTGATTAATTTACTCATTGGTTCTGTTTTATTGGTTCTTGTTGACCTGGAGTCGTTGGTCATAACTTTCAAACTGTACAATAAGCACAGCAAGCCAGCTGTGGACAGCTGGATGATTCATATCGCAAAAACAGGCTGAGCAGGAAAAAAGGTTGAGCTGAAAGAATCTTTGAGAGTTTATGTGTCTCATCTGTATGAGCCACTCCCCAATTAAAAGGCGGTTTCGCTGTGTTGGGGCTGGTGATGGCTAATTCAGATGTTGAGGAAGTTGTTGTGACACAATGGCCAAAGCAGGACGGCGGGCCCTCTCAGCTCTGTCACTCCAGGGAGCTTCACTGCTGCTTGATGAGCTGCCAAACCAAACCAGCAGACAGAGCACGGCCCCATAACCTGCAGCCCTCAGCCCCCAGCACCACACAGCTCCAACCCTGCAGGAGACTTTCAGAGGTCAGCGAGAGGTAACTAGTTTACAAGCCTGACTACACAGTACAGGTTTTCCTGACTTCTGTGTGTCTTTGCCCCTTGTTCTTTTTTTACTTGTTATCCTCTTCTACCCTTGGCTTATCACTGAGTTATTAATCCTGAGACTTATATTTCAGTAACTGCTTTAATTTATTCAGTAACTACTTTGAAAACAGTATTGAAGTGGTAATGAGAGTGAGGAAGTGAAGGGTGGGCCCACATAGAGACCCTTTGAAGGTTTTAGGGTTTAAGGAACCATTAAGATGAATAATAAGACTGTTACTTGTGGATGAGCCGTATGTATTTCAGCTCAAATTGCAGGTTAAAAAAAGCAAAAACTCAATAAAAATACTAATATACTTAAAAATATGTATATAGAAAATAAAGAGGAAATATTTTTAAAATGTTTGTGTCTTATCAACTGGAAGGTTGCCGGTTCGATCCCGAAGCTGACAGTACGTGACTGAAGTGCCCTTGAGCAAGGCACCTAACCCCAACTGCTCCCCGGGTGCCATGGATAGGGCTGCCCACTGCTCCGGGCAGGTGTGCTCACAGCCCCAGGGTGTGTGTTCACCTGTGTGTATGTTGTGTTTCACTGCACGGATGGGTCAAAATGAGGAGGTGAAATTTCCCCGTTGTGGGACTAATAAGGGTCACTTAATCTTTAATCTCTCATACATTTTGCTATAAGTACCTGGTTCTAACCTGATGTAGAGGAGAAACATT